TTTAGGTCATTTATACAACAATATTGAAAATTCAAAAGGGTTCTCAAACTTTCGAGCACTCATGAAGTTTACAGTGGAGGTGAGAATTCAGCTAGAGCAGGGGTAGGCAACTTTGACTCTTTTATGACTCGTGGACTTCAACTCCCAGAATTCCTGAGCCAGCATGGCTCAGGAATTCTGGGAGTTGAAGTCCACGAGTCATAAAAGAGTCAAAGTTGCCTACCCCTGAGCTAGAGGTTTCCTGGCTCATAAGTTCAGTCCTATAGTCTCATATATTTAGATTCTCCCTTATTTATGATAGATGTAAGGTAGCAGCGTTCTGTAGAACGTTCTTAACCATGCTTCTTGCTACCGGGTGGGTTATTGCTTAGAGATGATTTATATTTTCAAGCAAGTTGCACATATTGTTACAGGTAGTCCTCAATTAACAACAGCTCATTTAGTGACCGTTCAAAGTCATAACGGCACTGAAAAAGTGACTTAGGACTGTTTTTCACACTTACAACCGTTGCAGCCTCCCCATGGCCACGTGATCGAAATTCAGATGCTTGGCAACTAGTTCATATTTATGACTGTTGCTATGTCCCAAGGTCAAGTGATTGCCTTTTGCGATCTTCTGACAAGCAAAGTCAATGGGGAAGACAGATTCATTTAACGACTGTGTTATACGCTGCAGCCGTGTTACAATGTAACACCTGCAGTGATTCACTTAACGACTGTGGCAAGAAAAATGGTATCATGGAGCAAAATTCACTTAACAACTGTCCTGCTTAGCAACATACATTTGGGGCTCAGTTGTGATCATAAGACGAGGACTATCTGTACTTAGTTTTTTTTAGGTTCAGCCTACTCTCATGGAAGTGTGATCTGGGAAACCTATTTTACTACAGTTAATATGTGACCTAATCCAGGGGTTCAAATATGCTCCTAGCATGGAAGGTTCTGCTTAATTTTATGGCCTATATTTCCCCCCAGCTTACCTAACTCACAAGACTGCTGATGTGAGGATAAAAATGGATGGAGATTCTCACTTTAAATTCCTGGAGAAAAAATGGAATGAGCCTAGCAAACTAATAATAAGTCTTGTATTAGACTCATGGCTGTTATTTTGACTAGCTATTTATGTTTGTAGCAAAACCCCATATATAGTAATATCTCTACTCCAGGCAGCGTAAAAATCCATTTTTCTATTTCATTATATATTACCCCATCTGAGAGCATTCTTCATGCAACAGGACAAGCATCAGCTCTTCCCTCTGGTATATCTCTCTGTACAAATACTCAGGATTATTCCTATCCATAAATATGGAATTTCCATTTAATTGACTGTGGCTGGCTGAGATACCCTGACTGTGGCAGAGTATAAAATTGGCCTCTGTTTTAAGTGTCATGTAGACCAGGGGTCCCTAACCTTTTGGGCAGCAGGGACCAGTTACATGGAGAGAGATTTTTCCGCGGACTAGAGGGGGCATGGCTTTATGTGCTGCCTGCATCCCGTGGGTGGGGCTTTGTTTGTGCAGCCCTGTTGCTGGCATGCCGCGGCCCGGTACTGGTCCATGGCCCGGGGGTTGGGGACCCCTGATGTAGACAACAATAAATCTCTTGCCTAATTAAGACCCAGGAGAGTAGGCGCTTCTGCCTACTGGTGGAATTGTATAAGAAGTGGATTTGTTAGGCAATGGAGGAAAGCTGCTGGAGACTGTGGATATCGTATTTCTGCTGTGTATAGACTGGAGGTGCTGTATAAATCCAGACGTGGTTGGAGGAGGAGCTGAGCACCCAGCAGGAGCAGGCAGGATGAGAAAGAGAGATATGTGGCATGAACTAGCACAGTGGTGGCGAACCTATGGCATGTGTGCCAGAGGCGGCACTCAAAGCCCTCTCTGTGGGCACGTGTGCCGTCGTCCCAGACCCACCTCCCCCTGCAGCCCCCTCCTTCCCCTGCAGCCCTCTCCTCACCAGCAACCCCCTCAGAGGAGAGTCGCCCCTGAACATAGCCCGTGCGGAGCAGCACAGCCAAGGACATGGCAGCTGGGCAGTAGGGACAAGACTCCGTCCTCGCACTCCATCGTGCGCAGATGCTGCTGCGGTGCACAATCAGAGGGTGTGGCCATGGTGCTGCTGGTCCGGCTGGGCCATCTGTGGCAGGTCATGCAGGCGATGAATGGCCCTGTGGACGGGCGGGGCAGGGGCGGAGCGGGTGGGATGGGAGCGACATGGGGCGGGGGCAGGGCCAGTTTTGGGGCACCCAAGTCTCTAAAAGGTTCACCATCACTGAACTAGCAGGTGGAAGAAACAGCTGATTTGGAAAGAGCAGACCAGAAAAGCATCAGAAAGGACAGCTTGACAAAGGTGGACGACTTCTCAAAGGTTTGAGAAAGAGTGATTTTTTTTTCACTTCTTCTCTTCTTCCTCTCTAGACTGAAAGTAAGTCAAGGAGTGAAAGTTCTGAAGCTGTCTAATGGAATTCATATATATATATATATATATGCGTGAATCAAGGAAGTCCTGATCAAAGTTCTGATAAGGAAAATCTGTGTGAGTCAAGGAAGGAGGGAGATCCAGGTGGTTAGTAAACCATAAAATGCTCCATTTAGAAATGTCTCTTCGTAGATAGCAAGTGGGTAGATAAGCGAAAGCCACTCTATCTAAGACAAAGAAAAGTATTTACTTCAAAAATCCTGTATTTACTTCAAGATCAATGCAGTTTGGAGAAGAACAATGTGTGTGGTTGTGTGCATGCACATGCACCTGGAAAGTTCCCATCCCTTTTCTTACTTTTGACACTGACAGGGCTATTAATTATTGCTAGATGATTGATCTTCATGAGGTTGTCTGATTCTCCTTTCAAATCTTCCTTCTGTTTGGTGACAGCATTTGCACGTATATGTTGTGTGAAGGAACGTTTCCTTTATCTGTCACGAATCTGTCCATCAGTTTCATTGGAGGATGTCAGATTCTAACGTTTTGAGTGGGATAACTCTTGATTCATACTTTGAATACTGATGAAAATTTTTCCGCCCAATCATTTTCAAAATATGAACAAAGCTAATAGCTCCTTTACAGCCACCCATCCCTGCATATTCCGACCATTGGTCCCCATGCAACTATAAGGCTTCTGTATTACTTTAGATATTTAGTAATCCACACTTATTTTTTTATTTCCCTAACTCCTTACTATCTTTAAAATAAAAATACGAAGTGGGCCTGGCAGTTTGTTGATGTCTGACTACTAAAAGAACAGCTGATAAAAACATGAGTACATCTACAGTAAGTATAAGACACCAAGAATTGTTCAAGTGAGCCTTATTTAATCTCACACTCTTTATTATTTTTAACACATACAGTAGTTGGCTCTTTAATTGTTACTTTAAATAGTTATTGGAAAATACAAAGATTTAAATTAATCATTATTAGATGCAATGCAACTTGCAGTTTCCTATATTTATCTTGCTTTATTACTTCAACTAACATCCTACTTTTCTACTCAATATGGTATTTGGGGCAGCTATTTTTTTAAAAAAATAGAACGAAACAATTAAAATCATGTAAAGAAATGTTAATCTACCTCATAAAACTTGAAGAATAATTTTTTCAATGGTGGAAAGTGTGTCAACTAAGTGCAACTCCTGATGGAAGATAGTCCATTTGATACAAGTTCACACATTTGTTTCTGTCTCATTCAAGTTCACATTAAGACAAGCAAGTTGTCTAAAACCAAGTTTTAAACTAATTAAAATTTCACAGTTGAGACCAAAAAGGCTGGCTAAGTTGTATCCAAAAATCAGTTAGCAACTAATAATTTTATCTCAGCTACTTTCCCAACAAATACTTGGATATTTTAGCCCTCAATTTAAGACCACAATTGAACCCCAACTTTCTGTTGCTAAGTGAAACATTTGTTAGCTGAGTTTCACCCCATTTTATGACCTTTCTTGCCACAGTTAAGTGAATCACTGCAGTTGCTAAGTTAGTAACACAATTGTTAAGTGAATCTGTCTTCCCCATTGACTTTGCTTGTCAGAAGTTCACTAAAGGGGATCACATGATCCTGAGACACTGCAACCGTCATAAATATGAGTCAGTTGCCAAGTGTCTGAATTTTGATCATGTGACCATGGGGGTGCTGCAATGGTTATAAGTGTGGAAAACGATCACAAGTCACTTTTTTTCAGTGCTGTTGTATTTTCAAACGGCCACTAAATGAACTGGACTATCTGTGTTATTGCCTGGTTTAGTACTTACCATACGTAGGCCAAGAATTTCACGTATCCACTTAAGTTTACTCAGAAACAAATCTCACTGAATTCAGAGGGCTTCCAGGTAGTCCTCAAGTTATGGCCGTAATGGAGCCTGCCCATCCTGGTTGTAACTCATGACTATCATGAAGCAGGTCAACCACGTGACTGATCTGATTTTGCAGGGTTTTTTGTGTGGTAGTTGCTAAGTAAACACCACAGTTTCTGCCAGTGTCATTAAGTGACTCCTGTGGTCATTAAGTGATTCCATGATTTGTTGTGGGTTGGCTTTGCCAACAACTGGAATTAAATGCTGGGTTTGGACAGAAAGTGGTAAAATGCAATCACATAGCCAGGGGACACTGCAAACGGCCATAAATGTTCAGTCACATGACCATGGGGAGTAGCCTGACCATCAGAACTTCAATACCGGGTCGTAAGTACCGCCTAGGTGGGTCCATCAGAATTTCGAATAGTTGCAAAGCAATTGGTTGTAAGTCGAGGACTACCTGTATTTCTATATAAGCTTTAACTGTTATAATACATCTTTTAGCTATGATGCATTACTTTTCATGTATCATTATCCCCTGACACCCCACCCCCCAGTCTGAAATAAAACCATATGGCCCTGCACAAAAGAATCCATAGTTGCATAAAGTATTGATTACTGTTTGAGCTTTCCTAACAGCAAATAACTAATAAACTGTGGAGAACATTTCATTTGATCCTCTGTTGGTTATTATTATTTTGAATTCTTTTCAGAAACAAAGGGAATCTCATTCAGGATCCAGACCAGTGTGAAAGGACCTTTGGGAACGGACATATTATTAAAGTTGTTGTTTCATTTACCACTCAGTTACCCATCAAGCTTGCCAAACATCTCTCTTCATTCTGAACAACTCACAAGGACACAGTGTCTGGCTGTGAGAGCAAGATTGCTTGAAGAAGCAGCAAGCCATTTGTCTCAGCCCATGGTACATGAGTTGATCCTCTGGATAAAGCAGAATTTTCAGTCTGTGGTTGAAGAAGCTGAAATCCCAGCCTGCAGTGGGCAAAGTACTCCGTCAGTGAAAACAGCCGAGGATGATGTCTGGACTGCCCTTTTGCATTTAGACCATATGAGAGCCAAAGGAAAATATATCAAAACGGTCGAAAAATGGTGTAGAGATCTTGATCTGGCGGGAAGATTGATGTTTATGGGCAAGATGATTCTCATACTTCTTCAAGGAGACAAGCGGGACATTAAGGTGTAGGCTTTGCTCTTTGTGGCTGGTATACCATTGAATGAGAATGAATATTTGAGAATTTTGCTTGTAGCATTAACCATGAGAGATATCCTAGTTGCTGATTTTCGCACAAAACCCAACCTTCCTCTGATTGTTTTCTCCCTCTGTCCTCCAGGTTCCCTCTCCATAAAAGTTACATCCACAGCAATGTTTAATATTGGATTTGCAAGGCTAGCACTGAGAAAGAGTCAGCCATAACAACTTCACCAGTGTCCCTTCCACTCAGGTGAAGAACTCCCAAATGAGCAATAACAACAGATTGGGTAGAATTTCTTCCACTTGCTTACATTAGCCTCACACCCGGGTGAGCAGATACACGATAGGAGAAATTTGGGGTGACCTCTGTGGTTGTCCACTCTTTGGGGAGTCTAGGTTAGTGTTTCTCAGTCTTGGCAACTCGAAGATGCATGGACTTTGATTCCCAGAATTCCCCAGCTAGCATGCTGGCTGGGGATTTCTCAAGAGTTGAAGTCCAGACACCTTCAAGCTGCTAAGGTCAAGAAATAGATTTAGATGGTCTAGGTATGTGGAAGACCACCCAAGCTGCCAACGTTGAGAAATATTGGTTGAGACAATGGCTTTTTGACATACAGTGGTGAACGGGCTTTTTCCCCAGTTAATACGGTAGCCTCACCACCCAAGTGCCCTTCACACTTTCTAGCAGTAAACGAAATACTAATGCATTAATTAATCATGAAAAAGTTGCTGCCCTTTTATGACACCCCATTTGTGTTACCATAGGCAGCTGCTTCACTCGAACTAATGGATGCTATTCCTGTAACCAAGAATGGACGATTATACATAGGCCAACACGTATCTTCCATTGTGATGTATGGAATTATGGATGAATCATGACAAATTTAGTATTCTGTCATGCCTTCATGGCCAATGAAATGTAACTGGTAGAAAGTTGTGTTCAGAAATGGATTATATTATTTAGATCTGGATAATAATTACAGCCCTATGAGTCGGCTGGAATTTTATATGGAAATATATATGCAAACTGACAGATGGGAAAATTGAACAACTCCTAAATGTGAATTATTCCTAAATGTCAAAGTGGAACTTTCTGTTTTTTAGTTTAATGCCATTTTGTGAGCAATTTGCATTCGCAAAAGCTTTCGGTTACCACAGTTTTGGTTTCACTATTTTGTTCTCCAGTCAACTCTGTAGTATACTCAGAGCAAATCTTAATAAGAATGGATGGCATCGTTCTTTTTTAGGCTTTTTTTTAGTAGGGCATAAATTTGCACCGCTCAAGTCTTATTAATCTGATCACTATGTAATACGTGAATAGAACAGAATATCACAGTTGGAAAGGACCCTGGAGGTCTTCTAGTCCAACCCCCTGCTCAAGCAGGAGACCTTATATAATTTCAGACAGGTGGCTGTCCAGTCTCTTCTTAAAAGCCTCCAGTTGATGGAGCACCCACAGTTTCCGAAGGCAAGCTGTTCCACTGGTTGATTGTTCTCACTGTCAAGAAATGACATAAGGTTGCAATCCTGTTTTACTTAAAATGAAGTAAGGCTATTAAACCTCCTGGACCTGCCTCCTAAATAAGCATAAAGAGGTTGGTACCGCTTATGTAGTCTTTATCTGTAATTTTAGCAGATTTTCAGAGAATTCCGGACTACTCTATCGTAGATTGGAAAGTCAAATAAAAAATAAAAAAAACAGCCAGTGATAAACCTGTTCCAAATTACTATATTTCCAAGAAAATTGCATGGAAGTATCTATAAAATATATCACCAAAAGCTGAACTTGACTTGAAAGAGAGCAGATTATACTTTTCATCTTTGGTTGCCACAATTTAATGCATGGAGCTGAGCTTGACTTCAAAGAAACCCTTCCTTCCTTCCTTCCTTCCTTCCTTCCTTCCTTCCTTCCTTCCTTCCTTCCTTCCTTCCTTCCTTCCTTCCTTCCTTCCTTCCTCCCTCCCTCCCTCCCTCCCTCCCTCCCTCCCTCCCTCCCTCCCTATATGTGATTCTTATTTCTACCCTGCCACAATCACAAAGATTCTCAGCAAATTACACAGAATAAATAATACATTTAAAACATAGGGTACAAAACAAACAACACTAAAACATTTTATTTTAGTGACGTGTAGTCTCAGCTTATTGGGATAATACAAGTAGTCCTCGATTTACGACCGTATTGGAGCCTGCCCATGATTTTACGACCTGATTTTATGATTTTATGACCATTTTTGTGGCAATTGTTCAGTCAAATCACCATAGTTGTTAAGTGAATTCATACTCATTAAACAAATGCCCTGGTTGTTAAGCAAACCCATTATTAGCTATGGGGTGTTTTTTCCCAAAAAACCAAAGTAAACCCTGGTTTTCAGTAAAAAAAATATGTGACTGCAGGATACTGCAAATGGCCACTAAATGGAGGCTGGTTGCTGAGCAGACAAATTGCAGTGATGGGACCACGGGGGAGGGTCCAGTTGTTGAAAGTTTGGTACCGGGTGGTAAATGCCTTTTGAGGAAGGTCCAATAGAACTTCAAATGATCATTAAGGGATTGATCATAAGATGACGACTACATATAAACAGGCTTGCTAAAAAAAACTTCGGCAAGATTTGAATGTGTGCATCCGGGAGTTCTAAATTTGGAAGGACTTTTGTTGTTTGATGATAAACTAAAGTCATTCTGGGGCTCTTCACCATTTCAGAATGGAATGTAATAGCTCTGAGCTGAAGAACTTGCCATAACAGCTTGCCTTTTTGTTATTCTTGTTTGTGAAAAAGATGGAAATCACATGGCCAAACCGTGCAACATGGTTTGTACCAAGTATTAAATAGAAGGTCCTTGTGTTGTTAGAGAGGATGAGTTTGGAAGAGCTTTCATGTCATGGCCAAAAAAACCAACCTCTTCCTCTTTTCTCTAGGCCCTAGAGCTAATCTTTAAAAAACACAAGAAAAAAACCCAGTATGTTAATACTCAAGTAGGTTTAATTCATGTAATAGAAAACAAACACTTGAAGCAGAAAAAAACTAAGTTGACATTACTACTACACCCACTCAGGTGTAGTAGGAGAAAATGTGTATTGGGGGAAAAAAAAATTCTGTGTGCATGTGTTTACACAAGTTGCCTATCCTTGCTCAGGGAGATGATATAAGAAATACATCTGTGGCCGAGTGAAGAAACATTTTAAATATTCATTGCAGCAGACTGGGGAGTATAACTCAGAAATTAGTTATATAAATCTGTTTATTTTTCATACGAGTTAACATATGAAGTAGGATAAATTGGAAAGGAACTGCATCAGGTATAATCCTACTTTTTATAAGAGTGCTAAAGATGCTCAGGAAAGCTGCTTTGGAAATCTTCGTGCAGTTGTTCATAAACTTGTACAACTCAGTGTATGCCTTTCACATGTCACATGAAAATGTAAGTGCAACATCGTCATACTTTACACTGGTAAGGTTATTTACTAGCAACAATAATCCTGCCATTAATAAAATGGCAAAGAATTGACTTACGGGTTTCAGCCAAGATGTATTTAGAAATCCATTCAAGAAATACGTTTTTTCTGTCAGTAATATTTGTCCTTGGGCTATTATGGATAATGTATATTAATGTTGTTGAACTATGAGTCTTTTTTTCTGATTTAGGAATACCTTATGCTCCAAAAAACTAGCAAAGTGGATGTGGATTCGAGCGGAAAGAAGTGTAAAGAGAAAATGATGTGCGTACTCTTTGAAACAAAAGTACAGGCTGAACACAGAAGGTATGATTTAGTTGCATTCAGCTAGAAAACCAGCTTTGAATTGATAATTATATTCTGACAAAGAAGTTGGCATATTCATGAAGTCTTTCTGGTACAATGTAGGTTTCAGGCATTTGAAGTCAAAGAATACTCAACGTTGGATGAGCTGCAACATGAGTTTGAGGCCGCAGGACTCGCAAAACTCTTCAGTGAGTTTGTGTCGGCTCAGTTAAAATAATTTTGAAGCAAGCCCAAATGATTGTGACTTAAACTGTCACTGAATATATCAAATGAACGGGATGATAACATGGAAGGTTTGGTGACGAACATGTCCTAAAGGTTTTCTGAAGCAAACTGTCACAAAAAAGCTATCTCCTTGCACAAAGCACGAGGCACTTCTCACAGTAGAACAGATGTTACTTTGCTGTGTGCCCTGACAGCATTTTGCTACTAACTGTTGAAAATTTTAACAGTTGATATTTAAGAACTGTAGGTCAGGTGTGAAGGAATTGCTGTTGTCCTTGGGATTTGGAAACCTAATTTTGCAGATTTTTTAATACATATATTTTCTGTCTATTCCGCATGGGTATTCAAAAAATTTTTTTGCATCATATTTTCAAAAAGTAATGCTTAAGTACGTGACAATATTATGCTGTAAGAGCTTGCGTTTTAATTTATTAATTGAAGAATATAAGGGATGAGACATAATTTTAAACTTTGTTTGCTCTTTTTTTTTTAAATTTTAGGAAAGTGAAGTAAAATAACTGTGGCATTAATTCCCAGAGATCAGTTTTGCCCTTTCATAAGAGTAGAGTTTCACCTTCTATTTAGAAATTGGATTTAAAATTCACCTTACTTCGAAAGGTAGTTTGAGTGGCTACTGAAATACACACAAAAATGCACAGTTAAAAACTGATTAGTATATATAAAACGATAAGATAATAAAATAATTTAAAAGGTTTTTTTAAAAAATGTGAATGTCATACAATCACTTCTTGTTTTTTTTTTTACTATAACTTTTGACCATTGGTTCAATATAATATCTGGTTACTGGCTTACTGCAGGTTTCTTAAGCTGAATAAAAGCCCCATTGCCTTTCATCAAAGATTATTTGTTTTTAGCTGTTTGTCTGTTGAGTTTTGTATATAAAATCATGTAGAGATGCTGAAAAAGATGCTATACCTTTGATTAGGAAGCTATTTTTTTCCAGTTCCTATTAATCAGGGTGGTAGTAACTTTCTCAATATTGTGGAGATTGGGAAGAAAACCATTCTCCTAAAGATTGGGGTGAGTAACTTGTATCTCCAGATGTTACTGAATAACAACTTACAACATACTAGGTGAGGCTACTGGGATTTGTCCTTCAGCAAGATTTGAAAAAACTTTGCATCCTTGTTTTATATTTTTGGCTTGTTGACGAAGGAAATGAAGAATTGATCCCTTTAATGTAGAGTTTTCTACTTTAATGTATACTTAACAAAAGCAGATACCAAACTCCACAGTTCAGGAGTCGGCTTTATTCTGGGCTCCATCTTTAGGCCTGGTATGCTTGCTCTTTTTTGAACTAATATTATTACTCTTATTTACCAAACTTTGAGAGAATAAGTTGATTGGAAAAATTTCTTCTAGAAGTCTCGTGCTAACCATTTCTTAAGTACGTAAGTGCATCACAGCTGGGAAAGGCAGTGTACTACGTTGTTTAAGATTTTTGTCTATCCTTGGAATGTCCTTTCTGGGCTTCCTTACTAGAGGGGGTAGATTTTGGGTCACCATTACTTGCATGACCTCTGCTTTAACAAGGACCCCATAGGCTTAATGGGTTACAGGTGCCTGTCATATCCCTTATGCCTGCCTGCTTACCCACCTGCCTATTTATTTCCTTACTTACTGAACTTATATGGTCCCATATAATGACTCTAGAGGGCTCACAACTATCCCTAAAAATATGGTTAAAAACAAAGGAATCCTTCCCTCCAGGTTCCAGATCAAGCATCCTTGCAGCTCAACCCCCATCCTAGCCATCCTTGGGGAAAGAGCCAGGTCTTCATGACCCTCTGAAAGGCTAAAAGGGTAGGGATCTCTCAGATCTCAGGTGGAAGGTTGTTCTAAAGGACTGGATTGGTCTCCGGGAAAGCAGACCTCTGAGGTCCCATCAGGTAGCAACCTGAAGCACACTCCCCCAATCTGACTTAGTAGGACAGGCAGGAGAGACGATCCCTGGGATACAGTCCTGAGCACCAGTTTGTGCATGGAAGTCTTATTTTGTCAGCGGCCGTTCCCAAATTAGAGGACCCATTCTCTCCTGTAGTGCAAAGCATAACTAAACTTTTGGGGAGTACATTCAGTTTTAATGAGCTCTTTTTTATACCTTCCCATTAAAAACATATCATAGCTGTCGTTTCAATACACACTTGGTAATATAATGAGGTGACAGTAAACTTTGTACGCTTCGGCATTTTGTCAACTGAGATGTATGATTTTTTTTAAAAACTACTTTCTGTATCCAATTTGTATCTTGTATATTTTTTGATGGCAACATCTGCCTTTGTGTCATCCAAGAAGAAACAGTTGTAAAAAAAGATCTGTTAAGAGAAGAGTTCATGCTTGCTATCGTAAATGAGGATATATCAGTCAAATCTAGGTGTAATAGTTTCAAAACATTTGCCATATGGGGCAAATTATGTCACTTCAAATAGTTGACATGGTCATATTAGACTTCAGAAGGTATCCCAGAATGTCATTGTTGTTACCTAATCTAGAGCACATTGTCAAACCCTGTATAAGATGAACATATCCAATAGCGCCATGGCTGAAAACAGCACTGTATCTCCATGTGTACAAAAGTACTATGGGAAGAGCATGGACAGTGCCCTGTGGTACATGAGATTATATCTTCAGGCAACTGCTTCACTTCAAGCTTGCTAGATAAGGATTTTGGGTCTCTGTGTGTATTGTGGATGGACACCTTTAAGCAAAACAAAGGAAAAAATATCATGGAAAACATTATGCTTTTCATGATATACTCTTTAAGGAAACATATCCCTAAATCCTGTAATCTCTGATAATAGGTGTTGATATGAATCCTTATTAATAATAATTAGCTAATTTATTAGTTTTAACATTTTCATTATTTTCCCACTTGTCTTTTATCATCTGCCTAGAGTTGCATTATAGGAGAGATGACAGCATAAAGTTTTATAAATTAATTAATATGATCAGTATGATTTATCCAGATATTGTTATTGCCTCTTAATATCTACTGGGAGTAGCAACTAGTGGTCAGCTTGTACACAACATTGACAGCTCAGTGTCAATCTAATACGTGAATATATGGTAGTGTCTTCATTGCCTATCAGAAAAAAAGGATATAAGAACATTAAGAGAATCTTATATTAATATATCAAATGCTTGTTATATGCTTAACTTCGGGGAAGTTCTCAAACAGATCCTGAGCATTACAGAATTTTTAGTGTCACCAGCAATAGGTGCCTCTGCGATCATGATTAACTATCCACCTTAGTTACCTAGATTTTGTCTGTCCTAGTTCACCACCACTTAGTTTTATTGGAATACCCAGATTTTGACTTTGTGAAAAAGGCTCAGCTCCTCATGCATAGCTTTATATATCTCGATGAAAGTTTTCCATTTGCCTTTTTGAAGATAAGGATGACAAAATGTGAACCATTTTTAAATGCCGCCAAATTTTATTTTATTTTTTTCAGGAGTGTGGACAGTCTTCTAAATATGGCCACTCTTGCATGGATTTGTGTAGAAAAAAAAATTACTTCTTTCTCTTTTTTCTTTTTTGAAAACCCTTGTTCTACTGATGTCCAACATGGAATTTCTTTTTTTAACAGTAATAGGCACGTACAGCCCCCTTTTTTTTTTACTGAGCTACTTACCACTAGCCTCAAGACTCCTTTCTTGATTAGCTATTGTCAATTCAGATCCCAACAGCGTGCATAAGAGATTAAGATTCCTGCCCTGTTGTTATGTGCTTGCTTGACATTCTTCCTAGAATGTTTCTTAGAGCAGTTCTTTTTGTCCTTATGATATATATACAAAATAATTTAGTTTGCCAGCCACCTAGCTAAATTTTCTGCTAACTATTGGTGCCTCAGAACTCATTTATAAACTAGTGGTATAGGTCTATTACAGTGTTTGTACTCCATCGTGAGAATAGGATTCTGATCTTGAACTAGTTATTAAAAATATAAGAGCGCCTCACCTTTTATCTCATTCTGCTAAATTTGTTTCCAGAGAGATGTCATCAAAGCTGCTTAAAAAATCTAAACAAACCCCTTTCCACATCCTTGTTAATACTCAAGAACGCTTAAAAAGAAGCCTTATCTTTAAAGGAATATTGCTGGTTCTTCAGCAAGGCTTGTCATCCTATATGTGCTTATCAATTAATCTTTAATAACATTTTCCACCAATTTGGGTGGAAGACCTGCTAAATCAACTAGACTATAATATCCTGAATTCCCCTGGATTCTTTTTTTTTTTTCAGTTGGCCTGTATATTATCCATTTTCCAATCTTCCGATACATAAGTTGACCTTTAGGGCATGGTACAATTAAGAGATGGTTAAGATCAGTTTGTTTTTCATACAGTATTGTCCTTTGAAGATTTGTTTTTTGTTAAAAGATAAATGTGACATGGTTGGCTCATGTCAGGAAAATGTAACGTACAAATATATTAAAACTTCCAATAGATTTTGCAGTAGATCTTGATCATCATTCAGAATTAAGAACAAAGTCATCTCTCTTCTGATTGGTTCCATGATAAATGTTACTAGGCATGTTATTCCACTTTTGCTTTTCATTGTGACTAAAATAACTACTACTTAATTCTATGTATGGATAATTAAAACAACTCATTTGGAGGTCTTTCTAATTTCATTCTCAAACTTAAGATCACCTATGAATTTTGGCTGGGGACAGGTACATATCCTCAGTTCCTGTAGGTAGATTTGTTGATGTGAAGTATCAGAACTTTGTACCTATTCATATGAGTTCAGGTATGCCCTACGGTTTCTCACTACCTCTCTGCTCATTTTGTCATGCACAGTTATTCACGTGCCAACCAGTTTAAAGAAATATAAAGGCGATTCATACATTTTCCCCAACTTCTGATTGATGCCTTTGCTTTTCCCAGAATGGTACTGTTGTCTTGAGTGGCAGGTGTCCCGTTGTGTTTCTCAGAATTGTTTTGGAAAACCTCAGAATGTGCATCTGAAATACAATCTCTTAGCACTTACCGTATTTTTCCATCTATAAGACGCACCCTTGTATAAGACACTGGCGAGTTTCTCCACACCGATCAGCTGTTCGGCGGAGCACTGAACAGCTGAGCCGGCAAATCTGGAAGTTTGGCTGGCTGATGATTTTGCCCCCTCCCCCTCCCGTTAGTGGCAAGTCCACAGGGACTTGACACCTGCACCAGACAGCATGGCAACCCACACAGGCATGCCCTGGGCTGCAGAGATTACCATTATTTTTCTGTCTATAAGATGCTGCACTTGTATAAGACACACCTGATTTTTGAACAAGGTGTTTGCAGGAAAAAATAGTGTTTTATACACAGAAAAATAGGGTACTGGCGAGAAACTTCTTGACATGCATTGATATTGGAGGGCATGTGCATGCACACGCTGCACTTTTCCATTTCGGAACCATCTGCACTACAAATTGTCTACCTGTACACATCAAGAATGTCAGGTGCAAAGCAACCAGAACCACTCATGAACAGTCTCAAACATAAGCTTTATTGTTAGTCACCTATGTTACAAGAATCTCACCCTGACTGCATTGGGAACCGTCAGATAAGGCTTCAGGGATTCTGGGGGCAGTCAGGCCTATGTCCCTTTCTGCAGTGGAAGGAGTCTTAAGTTTGGCTCTCTCTTAACCCCTTCCTCCAGTCTTAACAGATTGTATCACAAGAAGAAAGAGTTCATGGTAACTACTATTCAGAATAACAGTGCTAGACAGGAAATAACTCTTTGTATCCTATCCTAACTGTTTAATGTGATCCTTGGAAGAGTCTACTCTTCTCTGAAAAGGTAACTGAGGTTGAGTCATGACAGCTTTGCATTAAAGCTGCAAATTTAAATACAACCATCATTTGGAAAACTAATCTTACGTGAGTCACACGGATCACTTTGAAATCTCATTCCTGTTCACATCCTGCTATATAAATGGCAGTAGCCAGTGTTGACAGCATTCCTGACAACTTGCCCTTGTCTCCTGGCTGAAGCCAGAAAACCAGTGAAAGATTATTAGTATATGGGATGCGGCATTTATAAATGAACCACGATGCAGAAAGGCTGGGACTTGCTGCAACCACCATAAAACATCTTTCTACTCACTAGGCAAGAAGTCTGATTATCTGTCATGGCCCAAAGATAATAACAGATGCTTTGTCTATTGATCTTCTATCACCTGCTTAATTTGTTACTCACTATTCTTAAATAGCCTAAATCGACATATCCATTCAGCATAAGAAATGACTTCAGTTTTTCTGCTTAATTTGAAATACTTTAAGGGTACATGATGTTGCTGAGACATCTGTTGGGAAACATCAAAGTAGAGGTCAACCTAGTTTTATCCTAGCAAATGTTCTTGCTTTCCATTTATCATCTGTCAACATTAAAAAGAAAGTAAATGCCTGGTTTTTACACAAGCCATGGTAACTCTTAGAGGTAGCATCCCTTTCTGTTTTGTAGCCAGGATGACCAAATCTGAATACGTGATGTTTTAATGCAACGTTCATTTCTCAGTTATGTTTCTTGGGCTATATTCTACTGATCCATTTGATTACTGAGGCTATTTAGTAGGGATAGCATTTCTTTTTTTTTTCAAGTTTTATTATTTTATTTTCATTACAATCATAAGAAGAAAAATTCAGATACATAAGAAGTTAAAATACAACACAAATTCCGACATTGCTCACCCATTTCCCCCCAGACCGCATCCCCCTCTCATCTCTTCACTTCCCCCTTCCTTCTACCTCCTCTCCTCCCCTCCCTCTCTCCTCCATCTTTCTACTTACTTAAGGGATAGCATTTCTTACCAGTTGATTTATGCAGATTAAATGTTGGATTTAGGGCAGAGGCCCCCAACCTTTTGGGCACCAGGGACTGGTTCCATGGAGAAAGATTTTTCCACAGACTGGAGGAGGCGTGGTTTTGCATTCTGCCTACATCCCACAGATGGGGCTTTGTTTGTTTGCGTGGACTGGTTGCTGGCATGCCGCGACTGGTGCTGGTCCACGGACCTGGGGTTGGGGACCCCTGATTTAGGGAGTCTATGATTTGTAAAAAAAAAAAAAAAAAAGCAATACTTTTTGAAGATATAACACTAAAAATTCATATAAAAAGTGAAAGATAAAAAGAAAGCCATCTCTTCTAAGCAAATAAGCACCTGAATGTTAGTCTCTCTCTTTTTTTTCCTGAATGGCCCAGTAAGACCTAGGACAGTGTTTCTCAACCTTGACAATTTTAAGGCATGTGGACTTCAACTCCCAGAATTCCACAGCCAGCAATGCTGGCTGTGGAATTCTGGGAGTTGAAGTCCACATGCCTTAAAATTGTCAAGGTTGAGAAACACTGACCTAGGAGAAGGTAAAGAGATGGCAGGTAAACTGGGCAATTTAAGTTTTTATACAGGCAAAGTAAAAACTAACAGCAAATAGCGGTAGTGGTCAATTATATCCAAGCTTGGGGCTGCTTAGTATTTGGATTATTAAAAGCACCTGAAGGCAGGACAAGAAGCAACGGATGGAAACTTATCAAAGAGAGAAGCAACCTAGAACTAAAGAGAAATTTCATGACCGTCAGAACAATTAATCGGTGGAACAACCTGCCTCCCAAAGTGGTGAATGCTCCAACACTGGAAGTTTTTAAGAAGAGACTGGACAACCATTTGTCTGAAATGGTATAGGGTTTCCTGCCTGAGCAGGGGGTTGGACTAGATGACCTCCAAGGTCCCTTCTAACTTGTTGTTAGTATTACTACTACTATTACTACTACTACTACTACTACTACTACTACTATATTAAGCCTATAAGTTAGTCTGGGAAGTCAAAAAGAATGAAGCCATCAACAGTCAAACATGATTCCATGGCATTGTTAACATTTCTTGGGAGATCTTAAAAAATGGAGATTTAGTGCTAAAATATGGACCTGTAGTAATAGTATCACCAACACAGAGGGATTTTACCAGAACTTTTAAAAAAAAATGCAAGAGAAACCGATTCGCCACATTAAAATGTGGGCAGAGGTTTGGTGAATTTGAAAGCAATAAGCACACAGATAAAAGCTGGAAGGGTCTGTTAAGCAAAACAATAGTAAAATAATTTATGCAAAACATAATCTAGATGGGAGGTCCTTAGACAAGACAATAAAAGGAGACACAGGAATTTTAAATAGAGGAGTGCAAGTACAGGACAAAATTGCACTGTCTTGTAGCTACCATTGTCCCTCAGATTATGGACACTTCAGATAAGTTTCTGAAAGTTCGTGTTTTGTTGAAATTACTCTTCTAATTATTTACACGCATAATTTATACTTCTTGCCTAATAGTTGTGAGTACCAGCTCACTGTCTGGCCCTTGAAGCAAGGCAGCTGGCCTTGGCAAAGAAGAAAGGGATGACATTTTTGAGCAAAAATGCATGAGAAAATGACCATTCTATGGAGGAAAAGTTATGGATGTCTTGTGTAAGAGATACAACTGGACAATTACACCCTACCAAGCATGCAAAAGAAAAGCCATTTTACGTAGAAAAACACCAAGAAAAATATGATAGACTTCTTAAAACCCCAAAGCATAATAATAGATTCAAAAACACAATACAGGTAGTCCTCGTCTTACAACAGTTCATTTAGTGACCATTCAAAGTTACAACGGTACTGAACAAAAGTGACTTATGACCGTTTTTCACACTTATGACTTTTGCAGCATCCCCATGGTCATTAAAATTTGGATGCTTGGCAACTGACTCATATTTACGACAGTTGCAGGATCCCGGAGTCATGTGATCACCTTTTGCGACTTCTGACAGGAAACGTCGATGAGGAAGCCAGATTCATTTCACAACTGTGTTACTAGCTTAACAACTGCAATGATTCACTTAACAACTGTAGCAAGAAAGGTGATAACATGGGGCAAAACTCACTTAACAAATGTTTCACTTAGCAACAGAAATTTTGGGCTCAATTGTGGTCATCATTTGAGGACTGCCTGTACAAGCTAGCTTGGTTTTGTTTTTAATTGACTACATAAGAATCTACAGTCTTCTCCATTGTTTAGTGGGCCATTTCAGCCCAAATATTTGTAGTAGAAGAAAATAGTCAAAGCAAACGATTGCCCTGAAATTATTTTCTATATTAAAATCTGAAAAAATTTAAATTTAGATTTTAAATTTTAAATTTAAAAAATCTGACAACATCTTTGTCTATTTTAATTTTGAAAGCAATATTAATCTCATTTCAGATTAAGTAGTATGGCTGTATTTTGGGCCAGATATTTTTCTTGTTTGATCTTTCTTCAATTTTTTCCCCTAAACCTGCATATGCATAGCTTCCAAATGTGATTTCTAAAAGGATTAGAAAACCCAAGGAATTCTTGCATAATAAAAATAATAATCATAACAACAACAACAATCTCTTCCACCACCACCACCACCACCACCACCACCACCATCATTATTACTTGGCAAGTACATTCTTTGAGAAGTCACATTTGGAAGCTATGCATATGCAAGTTTACGAAAAAAAAAAATTGAAGAAGAAAGTGCAAAGAGCAAAGAAGCCCCTCAAACAAACCAAAATCTGGTCCAAAATACAGCCATGGTACTTAATCTGAAATGAGATTAATATTGCTTTCA